CCCAATGCCTTTGGCAACCTGTCTTTGTGTTGCTAGGCAGTAAGTAACTCCCAGGTGAGTAGCATGAATTGTTTTCTCCCCCTCCATTTCCCACCCTCCCCAACGCTGTGATATTTTGTTTTCTAAATATTTGGTTAGGATCATAGATTTAGAATTGGGAGGTATGTTATAGGTCATCAAATCCAACCCTCTTTTATAGATGAGGAAACTGAAGACCAGACGGATTAAGGTTACTCACTAGTTAAGTGTCTAAGGGGTGATAAACATGCAGATCTTCCTGACTCCAAGTCCAAAATCCTATATGCTGCACCATACTTCTATTACCCTGCTAAGTTATGAAGACACATGGCAGGCAAGCTATCTGAATCTCGTAGCTCTGCCTTTGTGTCCTAAAGTTCTCTTGCCCTGCCTGACTGAGAACATAGAGAATCAATGGAAATACACTACCTAAGAAACTGACAAATGACCTTACCTACAACAGGGAACACAGGGATGATTAAAAAAAAAAGCAACTGATTAATGATTTACTACATGCAAAGGGACACACCTACTTGGACTTCTTGGACTTAATACAGATATGCTCATCTTAATGAAACAAAACAAAACCTCAAAACATCTAAGCCCATTATAATAGAGCAAATGGCTTAGGGGGCCATGATGATTTGTGTCACAGAGGTATCACCTGCTTCACGTAAGGGTCTCTTTATAAAATCATCTATTCTAGTGCATTCTCATGTACTATTAAGTATTTGATGGTATGTTTAGGAAGTTTACTATTAAGTATTTGATAGTATGTCTAGCAAGGACGGAAAAAATTAATGCTAAACTGTTAGGTTCTGCTATAAATTGAAGATCAATCAGAGTTATGGGTATAAGTGGGAAAACAGGATTCAATTTACAAAATAAACAAACAAAAACCCTCTGATTTATATTCAATTTTGCTTGTAGATATCTTCTGAGTGAGATGTAGTAATGCAAATAATTTAGCAATCAGACAAAATGATTCTATACAACTGTGGCAGAAAGAGATGTGACTGAAAGACTCTTATTCATTACAATTCACTGAGGGACAGGTACATGATCCGCAGGTAAATACTAGCTTTGCTAAACAGAAGCTGAAGGAGGGAATCTCTTGGTAGATTGGATTTCACTGGCAATCATATGACACAATTCCAGTAAGGTCCTCCATGGAAAACGCTCCCATACTTAGTCACTCCTTAGGCAGGATGACTACTTGTCACACATGTAGCCTAAGGTTTTCCTTTTTCAGGTATGGACTACAGCAGACCGCTGATGAGGCCCTTTCAACTCCCAAATTCTATGATTCCATTGACTCTGCTGACCTAGGGAAGAACCTATGGTGATGACAGAGTTGGTGTGTGATAGGGGAAAGAATAATGGACTTGGGAGTATGAAGACCTTGGTTAAAGTACTGGCTTTAATATTAGCTGTGTAATCCTGGGGAAGTCACTTGACCATTCTGATCCTCAGTTTCCTCATCTGTAAAACAGGGATAACCATATTTGACTAGTGGACAGGGTTTCAGTCTCTATAAAAACTTCAAGTACTATAGAAATGTGAGCTACGGTTATTATTAAAAGTAGCACTAGATAATATACTGGTGATAAGCAGGTGACACTCATACAGCTTTTAAAATGGCATCAGTCTGACAATTGCCATTCATCCTTACAAACTGGCTCTAAAAGCTGTCTTTCATCTAGCACTTATCTCTTTCCTAAGACAATGCAATTGGCCACACCAACCCCGCCTTGGTGGCCAAATCTGAAACAGGAGGCTCAAATGATTGTTTTCGCGGAAGGTGAATACAGCTTTTCTATTTCCAATGTAGATGGGATCATTGGGTTATTCCACTTGATCTATTTCCACAGGTGCTTCCAATCTACCACTTCCCTCCCCTCCTAAATCAGTTAGAAGATTGTGTTCCCTGGGATTACCATAGGTCTCTCTGGCTTCCTGCTGACAGCTTTAGTATGTACGGGCAAAGTACAGACTCACAGAATTATGGAGTTGTGAGGAATAGCAGAGTTTAAGTGAGGCTAATTCCCGCCCAAAGTGTGCATCCTATCCACAACAGCACCAATCTAGCTTCTGCTTTGAGGGCTACCTGTGACAGGAAACTCTGTTCCTACCCATATGTCCACTCTGCTTTTGGAGAGTTTTAATTGTTAAGTTCTCCCTTATACTGAGCCAAAATTTGCCTCTCATAGGTCCTAGTTTTGCTCCCTAGAGTCAAGCAGAGTCCCTCTTCATATGAAGTAAACTGGTTGGGTCACCTCATTAAAAGTCACAGGCTTTGGTTTCTTCACAATGTGCATAGACACATTGTCTTTTGTGGGCATGAGGATAGTTTTGGAATTCCCTCTCCTCCCCCCATCAAGTATGCTTAAAGCCCACTTACTAGGTAATTTCAACATTTCCTAGTGTCCACTTTAATATCAGAGATGGTGTTTATCAAGTGAGATAATGTATGTAAAGTGTTTTGCCAACTCCAAAGCACTAGCTAAATCCTGCCTGTTGTTATTATCAATTAGATGTTGATGTAGAAATGAAAATGACTGAGTTTCTGAAGTTTGAGGGAAGAGTGGGTTAGGTTGGCAGAGGGAGGGTAATTTTTCTATAAGAGAGGTCTCATGAAATAGTTAGCACTAACCAATTTCAGAATCTCTCAGAGCTAAGATGGATTATTTCAGAGCTATATACCTATGCTAGACATTTAAAACTCATGGAATCACTGATTATGATTAATTTAAAAGCAAGTCTAAAATGATGCTACCAATCTGAGCTAGTTTGGAATTGATATGATAAAATCAGATCCCATTGGCTTCTGGCAACCATGTCTTTACCATCATAGGTCTTTATGCTTTAATTTAGGAGAAACTGATGTATTTGGGTACCAACACCCTATATTTCCTTCATCCCTATAAACTTAGAAAGAAAAGGATTTGTCCAATGCTACCCAAGGGGTCAGATGAACTATGCTTGACTAAGGACAGCTTCTGCTATATCTGGTTGAGAAAAATAACTAATACGTTGGGTGAAAAATCACATTTGCTTTATGGCAGCTGGTGATTTTTTAAAAAAATTTATTTAGATTCCTTTATAAGGAATGTCGACATCTTTCATTTTCTCTCTTTAATAATGGAGCAAGAAGTTAGCATTATACTTGCCCTTTCCCCAAATGTATTCCCTGGGGGAGGCCTGAGTTGTGAAATGTAGGGACACCAGGGCTGTACGGCTCTCTCGCTAATATGCTGCGCACCCTGGTAGTTGAATGTGGTTAAGAAGAGTGGATTTCTTGCTTTTCTTAGCACTGAATGGGATTAACCGGGAATTCAAGATGTCATACCCTTAGGGTTTGCAGAGCACTATTCATACACTAGCCCTTTGAGTCAGGTAGCAAAATTATTATTATCCCCACTTTATAGGTGAGGAAACTGAAGTTTACAGAGGTTGTGACTTGCCCATAGTCATATAACTAGAAAGTATTGGAACTTGGACTCAAAACCAGATCATCTACCACTGAATCAAATGATCTTTTCATTCTGCTACTTTGCCTCTCTCATCAAGTCTCAAAAGTCTCACAGCATCCATTTCTCCCTTTTATTTCCCATGATCCTTCCCTGATTCATCTCCTTTGCTAATAATGTGGCTAGGCCTTCTTCGGCTCATCTCTGTCTGCAGGGCAGGGTTCAGGTTGGGTGTGTGAGTAGAGTGGGAATTTTCTCTTTCTCTTTTTTCCCCCAAGTACAAAGGTGACTTCTTCATGCATTCATTCACTCCTTCATCTGAGAGTCAGAGATACATATTCTTCTGTTTCTGAATCATTCATTTTAAGGAAAGGATAAAATAAATCTCTAATACATCCCTGCTCTCCTGGGTGAAATGATACCATCAGAATAATTTAGAATCATAGGATACTGGAAGTAGAAAGGAATTTAGGGACATTCTACCCCATCCTCCTCATTTCACAGATGGGGAAACTGAGGCTCATCGAGATAGGGAAACTGAGACTGAGATGAAGTGTCTTACCCAAGGTCACATAGTTGGCTAATGACAAATAGAGTATTCTTTACCCATGCAGCACCCTTTTCTATATTTCCAAAGAGAAGTATAGCTTTCTGTACCTACCATCAAAATCTTACATTCACCCAATGACACCAGCTAATAGAGAGAACTGCCAGACTTTGGGGCACAGAGGACTTTCCCCACTGGTTTGTAATCAGGCTGCCTTTTTCATGCCAGTTGGAAACTTTATGGGACTAGCTCTAGAGCACTTTGATTAGCAACGGTTTTTTCCCCCCCAGGCAGTCTGGGTGGAGATTGTGGGTGGTGATCCCAGTGGGGACCTCCTACAGCCTTTGTTTCCCACCGTCCTTTAGGGTCAATGCATAAAGTTAGGATTTAAATTGGAGAGGAGATCTCAGCAACAATGACTGGACTTTTTGTTTGTTTTTTTTTTGTCTCCATGCACCAGCCACAAGATCTCTTCATAGATTAGCACCTGCCCTCTGCCCAGAGGTCCCTTTCTGATTTGGGGTGAAATTCTAAGTGGCCCTCCTTTCCAACCTTGCCCCTACCAAACCTGTTACCCATCCTTTCTGTTCACATCCACTCTGAAAGGCACTCGATGTATACCGTGCAAGGTTCTTGCCCAGCCACGGTCCATCTGTTTCACCCAGCAACAAATATGGCATTTTCGGAGCTCCCTGGGAGCAACGGCTCTATTGTGACTTAATTAGGAGGAACCCCAGTTTGTGGGAGGTGAGAAATCGCACTTTGCTGCCTGCAACTCTTTGACCAAGACAACCCAGAGGGCTTTACCCCTTTTCAATTTTAATAGCTTTGCAGCAAGGGACACAGAAACGTGTACATACACACACTCACACATAGACACAGACACAAACACATTCACAGACACACAGACACACAGACACACAGACACACACACAGAGGAAGAACAAATCACAAAATCAACTCACAGGATCTCCAAATCACGCAGGGCTCTGAAGGCTCCATCTTCGATGCAGCTGATCTGGTTGTTGTCCAGTTGCCTGCAGAAAATGAAGGGGAGAGCATGAAGGCTGAGTAGGGAAGAACTGGGGGCTGCCTTGAAGCACAGGGGGCCCGGCGTCCCCTGGCCACTGGTGTGTCCCTCTACCCCTTTGCAGTCTGTGCTCGGCACCAGAGAGGAGGTTTGCTCACTGCCTGCCACGCTGCTCTGTCTCTCCACACTGACTGTCTGAAAGAACTGCACAGACGAGCACACCAAAGGCTGTCAGGTCTCAGTAAATATTAATTGCGCATTTTTTTTTTAAGGCAGAAGGGAGTAATTTCATTACATTAGGGCATCCAATCCATTACGAGCTCTTACTGTCATGTCACTGAAACAATTTCATTAAGCTAAAGGCCTGTAAATCATTGGAGGTCACTGCTCTGCCCTCTGCGACCTCCCAGAATGCCTCTTTTCTCTCTCTCTCTCTCTCTCTCTCTCTCTCTCTCTCTCTCTCTCTCTCTCT